TAAATTAGTAAACACATTTCCATTCGATGTTGATTGGTCGATCAAAACAATGCGGTCTTGACAAAACCTCTCGAGGGGACCAGGGGAGCTAACGGGTTTGTTTTTGGACTGCAGGCCGCTGGCTACCCTCGCCGGGCTTATTTTTGTTACCCAACATACTGTGCGATCGGCGAACGGGCCGCGAACGTTTCAAGCAGCCAAATTCGAAATTGGAAAGCCGATCGATCTGGAGATAAAAGTATCGCTAGTGAAAGATCTGTGGGAGGAATTGTGAATCGAGTGAATGGAAAATGGAACTGCAACATCTCTGCTTTGATTTTCTGGAGGAATCGAGACTGGTGGTAATTTTTTGGCGGAATTATTCGCTTCGGGCGACGGACGCTTCTAAAATAGGTTTCCGGCCTTGTCTTTCTTTTAGCAGTTGAACACCAACATAGCGCTAACTCGCCGAAAACGCTTCAAAATGGCCTGAGACGCTCGGAATCAACAAAGAAAACAACAAGGCAATAAGGTAAGCCCATTTTATTTCAAAACAAGACATTTTTTTCTCTCTTTTAAGGCAAACCGATAACATCCCATACAAACCTTTATAAATATAAAACGTTACGCAACACGGTAAGAGTCACGTCCGCTTTTCTAGCAGTGAGCTTGGGCTGCCTGTGGTCCACATACACACCAGTGGTGTGTAAGTTCTTTATCCCCAACTGACCTCTGTCCTTCTTGGTTGTTTTTCGCTTCATTTGTGTATTTTGAAGTCTGCTATTTTAAAGAAGGAAATCAGAATATAATGACAACGCATAATTACTGAACGAGAAAACCAAATGATACATACAAAAAACTGAGAAAAGCTTATCTGAAATATAAATTTAGTAGAGTCAGTTAAATCTGTTATCAATGCCATGAACCATGTGAGGTTTGCTTTATTTCGTGCGATAGTAAATAAGGCAAGAAATTCGTTACCTTAAGGGATATAGTGTTATTCCCGAAATATATGGAAGAATTGATTTATGTGACGTTAGTTCCGTAACTTTTTGTAATTACTTCTTTTCTGACACTCCTACAAGCTACCCAGGTAAAAGGAATGGTATAAAAATCAGTTGCTAATAGAAAAGCAAAAAGGTGGATACAAACCCTTGGTAAGCTGGAAAATTTCTTTCATGATTGACATCATTTTTAGGTAAATGGTGAATGGTAAATAAAGTGAACAAATCAGAGAAAGGTTTTTTCCTGATAGGAAAAGTTTTCTTTCTAAAATAATTTTTTTTTTCTAAGATCGTTTAAAAAAAGATATTATGAAGAATGCCGTTAAGACTGAGGTAAATTGCTACAAATTGCAACAAACCCGATGAAATTGTAATTGATTCTGCCTGTCCACCTTCTAAAAAGGCTGTGAAAGAGCAATTTAAATGGTCATTTAAGTCCTGAGACACATATATCCCGCTATGAAATTCTGCCCACGTCAGGCGTTGAAAGTTCATCTCGAAATACAAGTCATGACTCGTGTCCTAAGGACGTCATCTTTCCCCCTTGCCCTTCGGATTCCATTGTAACATACGCCGTGTTGCAAGGCCAAAGATTTAGAAGTTTCTCTTACATTGTAGACCCTACCTCTCACATTTTGGACAAAGCATGGATTTTAAATAAAGAGCAAAATAAGTTTTAGAGCTATTAAGAAGTTTTCCTGTTTTCCTTTAAGCTTTTGTAAGAAAGCGACGCGAGGGCAGTGGGGCTGGACGGCTTTTCCGGACTGGCTCACGTCAACCCATCCGACCCAGCACACGTCAGCTTTAGCAAGCGGGGCCGAACGGGTCATACGATAAATTCTTGTGCTATACGATTACAAATAAATAATGGTAACATAAGCGAATGGCGTATCTAAGTTAATTTGTTGTAAAGAAGAACTACTTCGGACAAATGGCAATCACAAACGGTACGATTCAATGCATACTACAGAACCAGGAAAAGAAAATTTTCAAAGCCACCAACTGAGTTTGAAAACCGACATTAAATAAAAGGTCAAAAGGATCGAATCTTATCACGATTTTTTCTGACATTTTTAATTTTCCTTTCCTGAAGTTACAAGGTCATCTCATGTTTCTTCACTATTTGATCCTTTCTCAATTTCTGGGAGCAATTCATGTCCCATTGGTTTTCAAAAGCCCAAACCATCCAATTAGTTCGCAATTATACGGGGTCTTACGGCGCCAAGATATGCATACAACAAACTTTACATATTTGGAGGAGATGTTGACCAGCATCCCTAACCAAAAACATCCTTACCTGATGCTATCCCTCTGTTTCAATAATGATACATCCTGTTTATTACAGATATACACAATGAATATTGTTGACAAAAGATTTCGGACAGATGAACATGATATCTGATTTGATAATTATTGTACGTGGGCTGCCTTGTTAGTGAACCGTTGTGTCGTGCATGATTGTTTCGAGTCGATGCAATCAGAACTCTGTGAAAGATGTCCAGATGTCGTGCACTGAGAGATGGAAAAATAAAAGGATCCACTTAAAGTATGGGACAATATCATAGTTCATGGCTTCTCAGATCTAAAGAGCATAGACTGATTTTCTAACAAACGATGGTCTCTTAGAAGACAGATGTGAAAACTGTGCAGAATTTACTTATCATCAATAGTGTTCAAGTATTCCTTTTAGATATCTGATGTCCGATGTTTTCAAATGTTTTATTATCGAGCCAAATATTTCCGTTCGGCTTGTTGTAAAAGGAAAAAATTGCCAAAGTGAGGGTTGTTTCTTTCAATGAAATGGTTAATAGATAAACAATCACCGCACTGGCTAAATATAATGTATGACGTGTGTAGTCACGAATCATTGCAATTAATAATATCAAATAAGGTAAATGATACATAAAGTGTTAAAAAAAGGATTTTTTTCCATATGATTGCTTTCATGCACTCAAGACGTACTTCGCCAGTTAAATACGCCATTCAAGGTACCTTCAATAACTTTTAATTCAAACTGAAACAAGACTTGACCGGTAAGAAATACCCTACTGATAAATTTCGAATCAAAGTCGGTTTTCAAAAAGAATGAACCCATCCAAATTCTTTTTTTTTAAATTGGAATTCTTCACATTCAGCAGTAGTTACATTGTGCACAAGGATGTCAAACAATCCACTAGATTAATTGTGCTCGCTCCTTGGGACCGATTTCAGTTAGTCAGATTTAATGACAGACGCGTCACCACTGAGAGGCCCTACCGACGGATTATGAGTCGGTTTTCAGAGGAAGAATTAACACCGCCAATCTCTTTTTTTTTTTTTTTTTTTTCCAAAATGCAAATTCTTTCCATTCTGCAGTGGTTACATTATGAACACGGACATTGAGCAGTCTAAAGGTGCATTCCTTTGGGCGGAGAAAGAGAAGCTTTGGAATGAAGGCAAACTGGGTGTCCATCCACAGGGCTGGTAACAACTGGGGAGTTTGCTTTCTATTCCCATTTGGTAGGCCACTCTATCGATTGAAAAAAAAAATAACGAAATAAAATAGAAATAGAGACAGACAGTATTAAACAAAAAATAGGCAGTCAATGACTGCATGTAGCTTACTGTACCTGTTATTACTTAGAATACCGTATTTAACCGCCCTGAAACGACACTAGAAATTACTCACAACTCAAGACATAGTGCAACCACAAATATAAAGCTCCGCGGTGAACGGAAACAAATATATTATTATAATATGCTAACACATTGACACCTGAACCACCCGTAACCGCCCCTACCTCCCTTCCCCAACCTTCCCTCATGGTTAGGATTAGGAGTTCAACGAACCAATAAGAATCCGTCATTTACACAAATATTTTGATGGCGTCACCCNCGGAATTATTCGCTTCGGGCGACGGACGCTTCTAAAATAGGTTTCCGGCCTTGTCTTTCTTTTAGCAGTTGAACACCAACATAGCGCTAACTCGCCGAAAACGCTTCAAAATGGCCCGAGACGCTCGGAATCAACAAAGAAAACAACAAGGCAATAAGGTAAGCCCATTTTATTTCAGAACAAGACATTTTTTCTCTCTTTTACGGCAAACCGATAACATCCCATACAAAGCTTTAGAAATATAAAACGTTACGCAACACGGTAAGAGTCACGTCTGCTTTTCTAGTAGTGAGCTTGGGCTGCCTGTGTTCACAGAAGGAGAAATTTGCATACTTCACTTTGAAGTTTGATCCGCATGCCTATTTGCACCCATGCGAAAATATTTAGCGAATTTTATCTTTCATCTCGATTTTTTTACTAAAAAATCAACCGCAGGACAAATAATCGCCGCAATGCACCACATAAACTCCTTTGGGGGGCAAATATTTCATTTGCGGAGCAATTAGCAATGCGACACAAACCCTGCAGGAGACAAAAAAACTGCGATCACGATCGCCAACGGGAAGTACGAAAATCGGACGATATCTATACGAGAAGACCGAACTGAGTTCCAAGCATTCTAGAAGGTTTCTATTGTTACAGACATACGGACGGACTTACACTCTGGATAGCGTAGTATCTACGACTTCACAGAAGTCTGTAGATACAAAAGGGAGTTAAGATCGGGGAAAATCGGATCAAAATCAGCAGAGTTCGTTGTCGGCTCGGATTCTATTGTTACCCTCACTCAGATTCTATTGTTACAGTCACTGAACAGGACAGCATAGTAGCTTACGCCTCTTTTAGAGGCAGTAAGCTACAAAAATGAATCACCTGACAGAAATGGTAATAAAGAAATAATGTTCAAGTCTCGGAGAGAGACTGAATAGAAAATTTTTCTTAAGATTGGTTTTGAGATGCATGGTCTGATAGAAGACCTTCCAACCGCAAACAGAAAAATAATTAATTTCTCAATTCTAGAACAAACTTTCTTTATGAGGGTGGCATCATGCATGTAGGAAGAAATTGTGTGGGCAAAATGGTGGGTTTCACTTTCCACCCCCATAATGTTCACTCCCATTGAGTATGGAACTGATACGAACCACTCGTGAAGGACGCGAGCACATCTGAGGCTTAAAAAGATGACTATATGTTATATGGTGAAGTTAGTAAACTGCAGAAAATGAAGCTAGCTAGGTTAAGTCGAAGAAATAACTGTTACATTATCAGTTTAACTCTGTGGTAGAAAGGGATGTTTGTTTATCTTCGTGGTGGTACGAGTTCAGAAACTTGTTTGCCGGAAGATATACGTGCATCCACCGCAAGGGAATTTGGCGCGCCGTTCGAAATGGAAGGAGGGAAAGAAAACAATCGAAACAAACTCAACCCACGTCGGTCTGGGTTTCGGAAGGGGGAGTGCTTTTGTCTTTTTGCCCATCGGCGAAAAACTTATCAGTCTAACATCTCTCTTAAATTTGATGTGGTAATAGTTTCTGTAAAATTCCTGCATCAACCTTAAGGCATGAGAAGTTGTTCGACTTGTTTTGCCTAAGGAAGGAAACCCAGGAGTCTGAAACCCAAAATGTAAAATGCTAGGAAAAGTAAGTTACGCTTAGTTGTCTTCTTCACGTTTGAGCTCTCCATTTTTTTACCCACGCAATTTTGGATCAGACGTTTATCTTTGTTGAACGATTCGCGTAATGTAAATCAAACACCTCACTTAATAAACACTCAAGTTATGTGTAATCGGAGTTCAGACCGGACGCAGAGATCGCACGGTTGACCCAGTATGAGAAAAGGGAAAAGAAGAAGAAAAGGAGGAACAATTACAGCAACGACGATAATCTGTCTGTCAAAGGGATAATTGTCCTTTTTACAGGGCCGAAGGCTTTTTCGATAAATTTATTTCCGGCGAGGCGTTTGATCTGAACATAATCTAATTGAAGTGATCTCAAATAGGTGGTTTATCGTGTTTCCTTAAACGACGGCGGCATAGCTTCCGTACGTTTTTCATTTTGTGGTACATTTTTTTGGCTCTGTTGATTTTTGCCATGAGGATCGAAAACACAACGAATTTTTTGTCTGATGGAATCCACCTTCTATTCAAGATTGGTAATTTCCACTTTTTTCCATTCTACGTAAATTTAGAAAGTTGTTCCAGTAAAAATGAATAAATAGCTTATGGATGGAAATGAAAAACTATAACCTGTGGATGTCCGTTCGTGACCGTGAACAGAAATAATAATTTTTTTGATAAACTTTTCTGGGATAGTGTTTACGGAAGTGGCAAATCTTTGTAAACCAACGAATTCTTTAGGAATTACATGTTGGATATTTCAAAGTAGAATCAAATGATATAAAAGGAAGAGCTAGAAACCAAGATCGTGAACGGACTCGAACTTGGATAGATCTAACTACAATAACTGATATAGAAAGAAAGAAATCGGACAGCATGGACTTTAAAGATATTTTTGTGGTAAGTGCGAAGTCAGTATCATCTTTCGCTTTAAACGAAGGAAAGTTCTTTTTCACATCAACATTGCCAAAACTCTTGATTTTAAGTTTAAATTTTGTTATCACCTTCTAATTTAATAAAATTCGTAGCCAAGGAAAGTCATGGCCGCTTCAGTTTTCATACATGCCAGCTAAGCTTTTTGTGTATTGTTTTGAAGACTCTGAGGGCCAATTGTTTACTAGAGGTTTAACCCAAATCGCAGTTTTACCCAAGCACTGAGCTTTACGTATTCTCTAGGGTTGTTGTCAATAGATAAATGTTCTTCCACTGCATTCTAACTTTCGGTCCTGTAGACACTGTTAACACAAGTGAATGTTTAGATAAAAGATTTGGCTAAATTCAAGATAGTTTAGAACGTGGTTTCGTCAAACAACGGCTAAAGTTTGTTCAAATAACCGACCCTGGAAGTTTGCGAAACTTTCCGACTTCAATCAGCCGTTTGTTCTCTTACTATTGTTTATTATAACTTTCATTTACCAATGCTAAAAAAAGGGTTTACATGAGACGCTGTTTGATGAAAACTTATGAGACGAAGATAAAATGGAAGGGTCACTTTTCTTCCAAACTTGATAGTTTTGTTCTTTATCGGCTTTCTTTCTTGCATAGACTGCTGTTGTCTGTTTGTTGGTTCATGCGGAATTAGGCGAGTCAAACACTCGCAAAAATAGAAACATTTACTCAGCTCTCTGTCAAACTTCGCTTCTTACAACAAGTGGCTGTCTAATGAAGATTCAAAGTTGTTCAAGTGGTGTGACTACGTGTAAAGTAAGAGTTCGTGGAACTCTTACGACAGATCTGGCAACAAGTGAGTGAGGACTGGCACGAACAAAATCTCAGATATGCTTAATCACTTTAAACTTCATTGCTATCATTACTTTTTTCCTTCATCCAAAGATTGAACCAGTCCTCCAAAGCTAACCGCCCAAAAAAATGCATGCTGAAGCATACGCTGGAGGAATAATATTAAAAAAAAAACTCTCAATTTTAAAGGCCGGGATGAATTTTACCATGAAATTTGTTAGAGTGGGTTGTCCCATGGTAACTAACAGAATCGTAAATCCCAATTAGTCGTAATGGATAAAAAACCACCTCACATTTAACATATCATAAAAATAAATGTAAAGCTGCTTTCTAAATTTCTTTCAAAGGATTTACCATTGTTAACGTTAAGGCACAAGATGGAACAGTGGGAAAGTGCATTGAGTTTACTACAACCAGCCAAGTTAAATATGCTTTGAAGGTCGACGCTGTGACTAATGTAATTTTTGAGGTGAGTTGATACCAAACCAGTGTCACTAAACACGTGACTGAAAGAAGGCAGAACTGCGGCTGAAGATCTAGCCCCAGTTGGTTGAAGGTTAGATACAGCTATCCACTGTAAATTTTTGTTCGGAATTATCCGCTAGTTAGTGATTTATCCTTTGAATAGCGTTATCTGCCCTTTGAAGAACCGGAGCCTGGTGTTGCCCTTAAAGAGAAAACTAACTCTGAAACGCAGAAAAGGTGTTTGAATGGAATTACTAAGCTTAATTGGCAGACTTTCCAACTGACTGTGCTCTCTTTTATTTCCTTATTCACGCTCACATGTGAATAATACTATTGCTTAATTTTTCAGATCTTTTGTCATGTAGCGAAGAGGCATCCTAAGTTTTTGACATTCGCTTAAGTTTGCAAGCGATTCGCGTGCAAACGTTTCATAATCCCCTTCTTGGCTATTAGTGGACTGTTTTCGTTTTCTTTTACAAGAAGTCCCGGCCGGACCAACACTCAAGGTCTCAAAATAATTGAGAAGAATTTGCTACCTTTCTATAACATCAAGAAATGGTTAGATATTCTAGTCTTCTCGGATAGGGACGAATAAATGGAGGTCCCGTCTCCTACAGGGTTGGGGCAGGAGACGTTAATTTCCCACACACGAGATTACTGTGTGATGGATGTCCTCCCCTGGGGTGGGATGGGTGGGTTAGGACAGCAGGTCCACATCAACTATTACAGCTGCCAATTAATCAACCTGCTTAAACAAATAAATGAACTTCAACTTCAAGATATTTTAAAGCAGAAACACTCGCATATAGTAACT